AACAATAATTCATATTCTTAGTTTTTTTCGGTAAAGTCACGTTGAAGAGAAACAACAAAATATATATAAAACAATAAAAAATTTGCATAAACCGACACACCTGATGATGACCGTTTGAGTTATGGTCGAAACGTCGTGAGAATTTTTTATTGTTTTATATATATTTTGTTATTTTGTTGTTTCTCTTCAACGTGACTTTACCGAAAAAACTAAGAATATAAATTACTGCAGTCACGAAAGCTTTAAATCAGAACAATAATTTGTTGTAAAGAATGCATTGATCTTGTTTTATTACAAAGTCCATACAAAATCACAATCACTTAAACAGTTTGAAATAACTGTTCAGATAATCACTCAAAATTAAGCACAACTGACGATTTCGATTGTTACTCGTTCGACTTGGAACGAACACTAACAATCGACGACCGATTGATGTGCGTGCTCAGTGATAATTCCACTTTTCTGCTCCCAAGCAGAAGACTCGGCCCACTCAGTGGATAGCAGAGCCACGCCAATCAAAGTCCAACTCCACCCACTGTTGTAAATATATGCAACTACTGTACTGTAGAGGGGTTATCACGTGGATTTAGGATTAACCGGAGCGCATATTTGGTTGGCTTAAGCACGTGACTTGTAATAAACATTTCCAAGAATAACAATATATAAGTTTTAAGTTTATTAATTTGGGCTTAAGGGAAAATCCGTGAATTATTAATTTATACAAATGAATCTCAGATGCATGGTTAATCCGCAAATCTGATAAACCACACACAGATGATCCAGAGTCTACTGTACATTTCTTTTTTAATAATCAAACATTACTTTTTGTGATATGAATACAGCGTTGTGATAAGAGAATGAAAATGATACCCATTTTCTTTGGTTCTTTCGGTAAAGTCACGTAGAATGAGAATAAAATAATAAATTGATAAAATAAAATAACACAATAATATTCTCACGACGTTTCCCCATTTCCTATTTTCTGTTACAGAGCAGCGGGCCCTTTCTTCTATTCTACTGATTCTCAACATCTCCCATGTAAACGATAACAATGCGCTCACTGCCTCTTACAGTACCACTATTTTACTGCTGTGCACTTTTTGTTAAATACGCATCTTCCCTGAAATTACTGTACAGGCTTCTGTGCTCAATGGGTCATCATTCTTAGTTATGAACGTTTGTCAATCTCTAATTACACATGAGGCCTATGAGCAAATCACTGTTATACCGGCATAATCTGCTGGAATGCACCCGATCTCATTGGGTCTCTGAAGCTAAGGGGGGGGGGGGGAATTAAGCTCGGGTAGAGCTTGGGATCCACGGATGAAGTGCACCTTACAAACGGACATTTCTTATTATTATCTTTCAATAAAATAAGTATCACGTGCTGCACAAAAATCACATTGCTCTACTGCTCTGTGTGCTCCAAGGTTTACGCTCCTTGCTTTTACCGACCCACACTGATCGGCTTGAGGTGTGGTAAAATAACCCCCACACGGCCCGCAAAGGCGTGATCGTGGCCCTCATCCAGCAGTGGATCGACAAAAAGGGATGTAGGTGTACAGTTACACGAGAAAGCACTCCTTTAGACATGTGGGCCACTTGCAGATACGTCTTGGGTAAGAGTGGTGTATCCCAATATCCATGAAAAACACTCCACGATTTTCCTTAGACATTGGGCGTCATATCATTCAGCTCCTGCCATCTGGAAAAAAAGAACGATATTCAGCAAAAAAACCCTACTCTGTTCTCTGCGTAATCCGCGATTGGCCGCATTGCGACAATGCATTTAAAATGCCAGGAAAGTGGCTCGCCGCACATGCCAGCATCCGTCCGCGTGTCGATATTGTAAAGCATTGCATTGTGGCAGTTCTCACTGGAACCTACAGCAATGTTAACGGGGCATGTAATGATTTAATCAGTTCTTCAATAATAATAATAATAGGGGTTTTCCCCTTTTTTCTGGCAACAAAACTGAAACCTTTTTACAATGATTCATGTCTGCATTAACCACAATACCTGCAGTCAAAATGCAAACAAAAAAACACACTATGATAATATATGCATTGTCCTTGAAACTGATTGGTTCACACCAAGGGACCGCTTTCTTTTGAGCCTCGACCCAATTGGTGCTCGACCAGATGGCGCCAAAAGGGTCTGTTGTTTACAATTTATGCAAATTATATATTTTTTTGTTTTTCTGTTTTATCCCTTGATATTAAGACTCTGTACCTTGCTCTCGAGTTAATACATTTATCTGTGGGACATCACAGAATGCAGGATTTTTTTCTGATTTTCCGCTGAAATGTTTAAAATACAGTAGACTCGATTATCCGTGCTAATGACGGGGAGGACAGCTGGCGATACTTAAAAATCGCGGATAATCCAAAATATAACAATTTTCCGTGGATCTCTATGCCAAAAACCACTAATGTAGGAATAAATTGTTTAAGTAAAATAAATCAAGTTTGTTAATAAACAAAACATTATAGTAAAGAATGTATTGATCTTGTTTTTATTACAGAAGGCCATAACAAAAACACACACTCACTTAAACAGGTTTGGAAAATTATGCCTAAGTCCAGTTTCTGATTGAAAGTTAAAACAACACGGTGCCGTTTCTGTCCCATCGCACCGTTTCGTAAATTTAAACTCGCAAAATCAATGATCGATAAGTCACTCAAAATGAAGCACAACTGACGATTTTGATTTTTTACTCTTTCGATTTAGAAGGAATATTAACTATCGACCGATCGATGCGCATGCTCGGTGATAATAACACTTTCCTGCTCCCGTGCAGAAGACTAGGCCCACTCAGTGGACAGCAGCAGAGCCACGGCAATAAACATCGATACAACTCCGCCACCCACTGTTGTAAAGATTCACAACTACTGTACTGTATAGGCGATCAAATGGATTTCGGATTAACCAGAGCACATATTTTGTCGGTTTAACACGTGACTTGCAATAAACGTTTCCAAGAATAACAATGTATGACTGTTTTTAGATGATTAATTTGGGCTTAAGGGAAAATCCATGCGTTATTAATTTATGTCAAGATCTCAGGTGCACGGTTAATCCACAAATCTGATAAACCGCAGGAGGATAATCGAGAGTCTACTGTATACTTTGACCTTTGAACTTTAATTTACCTTGCAGGTCCTTCAACCAATCCACGTTTTTGTTTATCCAGGGCACAGCCAGCTGATACATAAACAGTTCATTTTACAAGGGATGCTTGGCGTGAAGCGCGAATTGCAAACACCCGAACACGAAGCGATGTGGTGAGCTGGGCGATTGGTTTGAAGATAAACGGGGCCCCAGCGTTAAGGTGCGCACGCACACACGCCGCCTGAATATTAACCATGAGTAACACGGCACTTCCCCCTTGCTCTGCACAGAGGGTGAACCCAGGGATGATGGAGCGTTCGTGCGTCGGGGACCATGGCGGAGAGACGACGAACGGCAGTGAGCCGTCACAGGGGATGGCAGAGAGAGGCGTCGCCGGCACAGGTGAATGTTTGTCGCACGTGTTGGATGTGGTTCGGGAGATTGTAGGGACTGAGCCAACTCCACTTGAGATTCCGGGTTCAAATCCGGCTTTCAGCTGCCCGTGCTTAAACCAGTTTCTCGAGTACAGCGAGTTTGTAGCCTCCACCTGGTCACCTCCGATTAGCACGGTTGGCTACGTAGGTGTGCAAAAATAAGTTCAACGGACACGCAATTGCTGCAGAGGAAAAAATAATAACGTCAAGTTAAATTTGGTCCTTCAGTCGGATTTTCATATTTCGTCTCGGCAATGCGACGTCCTTTGCAGGGCATATAAGAAGGTGCACCACTGTCAATCGTAGGGACTCGTAACGTAGTTCTGTGACGCGCGGTATCGCCGCCGCTCACTTGCAGAGGTTCGTCTGCAAAGTTATTCCCCCTATGACATGGCACCGATATACAGCGTGTGGCCTCAAAAGCACTAGGGCACCCAGATGGGGGTCAACTGCCCGGGTGTAGCGGGCCAGTCCTGTTGTTGTTTCCATTGAGACCAAAATGTATCCCGTTTACACTCTGTAATATTACTTGTAGCTGCATATGATTTGTTTTTATGGTGCAGGATGTGACGTTATGGTATTCAGTCATTTTTTATGTTGCTGGGCAGTGGGGAGACACAGTGAACAACAAGGCAGCGTTGCGTTGAATGCCGTTCCATTTTTATTTATTTTGGGAGTGCAGTTACACTTTTATACAATTTTTAGGCTTCCTCCAAAGAATGTTTATGTGCGGGACAAGGTATTATCCATCCAAAGTCAATTTGAGGACAAATCTAATTGGGGGGGGGGGGAACAATCGTCCTGCATGTCATTTCACGTTCTTTCCTGCAGTTGCTGAGTTAACACACCTGTCAGGTGACTCACTACTGAGCCACTTTCTACAGAATTGGTAGGATTGATTCCCACCACAGTCACCCAGTAATTTCTGCAGCCGTAATAAAGCTTTTATGGTCAGGATACAACCTCGTGAAACAAACAACGATTGGATTGTGTACTTATTCTGTAAATTAGCAAAAATAAAAGGTGGAAAATATATTACCACTTAGTAATGGTGCCCCTCGATGAGGTGCTTATTCTGCAGACCACTGAAACGATGATGTTGATAAGCTGAACCCTGGTTGCAAATGGATCTCACAATCGCAATATTTGCAGCCCTGTTTAACCACCAACTGTGCTAAAATACCCGACCAGAATTATTTGGTGTGGCTGACTTTGATGCCTTTGCCGTAGCTTGTGCCTGCTGTTTGATGTGACTATTGATGCCGGCGGTCATGCTGTTATGGGCCGTCCATAAATGACGTCACGCACCTGGGGTGGGGTGGGGGGGTTCAGACATTTGCGACGATGTGTGACAAGAGGGGGGGGGTTTGAGAAATGCAACGTCACATCAAAATGCGCAACCTTAAATAAATATAGACAACGTTCTACTTAATTAAATAGACTTTTTAATAAATGTTTTCTCCTACAACATCAGAGTGCAGCGCCACATTAAATACGCGCTACAATGACGATAGTTTAAAGCGATTTGAAGCATGTTTTATATATTTTTGGGGGGGGGGGGGGCAGAGCTTTGTGACGTCATATTTGATGGGGGTCTGACTTTTTGTGACACCGTTTGACGAGTTGGGGGGGATGGGTCAAAAATCGTCCAAAATCGCGTGACGTCATTTTTGGATGGTCCCTTATTTGGTGTGGCAGTTGGTGGATATTTAAGACTCCTATTGTGGCTACTCTTGGAATGGCTGTTTGTGTGGCTGCTGTTCGTGTAGCTGTTGGGGCTGCTGTCGATGTGGCAGTTGCTGCTTGCTGGTGGTGGCTGCTGTCGGCGTGACTTGTGGCTGCTGGTTGTGTGGCTTTTGTGGCGGCTACTGTTTTAGCTGCTTGGCCGTTGTTGGTGTGGGCCGAGGAAGCGAACGAGAGACCGCGCACTGTTTAATCCATCCACGCTTTGCTCCCTCCCAGCTTTAGCGCTTTAGTGCCTCTCTTGTTGAGCAGCCATTTTAATCCAAAGTCTGCCCTTATCTCACGGCTGTAAGAGCAAAGGGGTTTAATTCTCTCTCACACACAGCGTTCTGTCTCGTTGTATCTGTGAAATGGTCGATTGAAACTCAAGCCAGGCACAACTCTTGACAAACGTACGTTGCTCTTTTAAGAGACGCTGTCTGCCTGAACAGCATCCATGCCCCATCGTCCATGTAGTCGTTGTTTGCCTGTTCTGTGCAATCCGTGTGGAGATGCGATTCCGCTCGCGTGGATTCGCCTGCCTCACGTGCGTGCGATTGCAGTGATTGTATACTGATGTGTACACTTCAGTTTATTGGCCTTCCCCCACCACACCTCCGATAAGCACGGTTGGATACATACCGTGCGAAAGAAGTTCAACATACATACACTCGCGTTTCGTGCGCAGAATCCTCTTAAAAACGAAATTCAAAATACGACCAAATCACCCTGAATGAACCCGATGATCTCATCAGAACTAGGAAGTTAAGCAAATTTTATACCGGATATTGCTTGTTTGGGTGACCACATTTCACAAAACAGGTTTTTATAAAGCTTGCGAGGCTACATATAGTGCATTGTTGTACCGTACCTCTGTGCCACCGCATCTGTAGACCTAGCCTTTATCAATCCGTATTGACCAGTGTGGTGAAGTACTGTCAAATAGCCCGCATGGTACCTGCATAGGTGCGGGAAGGCCTTCCTCCAACAGTGGATTGACAAAAGTGCTGAGCATATGGTACATTCATTGCAGGAGGCTTGAGCTGCAACATGGTAAGGAGATTGCGGTACATTAACGTATTCTAATTAATCTATCTGTGCAGAACTTTTGAGCGTTACCCCTCGTATGCATGTGTTCATATCCGAGTACTCCAGTTTCTTCCCGCATACCAAACACTTACAACGATATCCCGCTTTGCGTCAGGGGAATGCGTTCCTGAAAGGTGTGACGACGAATATTTAAACGATGTCAATCGAAGCGATTTTTTTTCCACGAGAGCTAAACAAAGACAACGGAGGGTACGGTGAAGCTGTGTGTTAACACGCACATCTTAGACGTGCCCACAATGTTACATTAATTTAGTGAGGGGTGCCACTGGCGAGATGTTAAATACCTCACCTGGTGTGCAGTAGGTCATGAGATTCGATCCCGACCCTGACGCCTGGACATCTGGAGTTTGCATGTCTCTCTCGTCGTGGTCGTGTGGATTTTTCTCCAGGGCCTCCGGTTTTTCACATATTTAGAATGAACGTGCAGTTAGAGTATTTGGCTGCTTAAAATTTCCACAAGCCATTTTGTTAAGCTATCATTTGTGGCCAGGTCTCTTCTGAAAAAGACCTATATAACTCAGTGGGCCTTACCTAGTAAAATAAAAAATATCTCATAGCTATCTTAAAACTGAGCTACTAAAAATCTGTACTCAACACTAGCATACAACAGTAAACCTTAACACAAATTAACAGGGTACAATAAGATACAGTACATTATTTAAAAAAAAATCGCCAAAAATACTGGACAAATAATATATTTTACTGTCACCAGGGGAGGAGCCACAGGGGGAGCTGCGGGGGGCTCAGCCCCCCCTGAAATTTTGGAAAAGTCAGTAATCGGGATAACCGGATATCTGACTGCTGCAAAATGATGGCTGCCACTTAGTGCTGCCCTGCAGGCTGCTTGAACGGCAGCCTTTCAAATGTATTAGCCACATCAGCGGCTCCGACCTATTAATAAACCCCGCTTTCAAATCCAATAAAATTTGTTTTATACATTTGTGGCGCCCATTGGAAAACATACACTGGATATCTCAGAATATTGAAGTCAGCCCCCCCAAAGTCAAAATCCTGGCTCTGCCCCTGACTGTCACTTCTCATCTCATTCTACTCCTCCCACTCCATACACTCTCCTATCTGTCCCCTCTCAGCTTACTCTACTCCCTCCAAGCACTCTCCTACCTCTGCCCTCTCGGCTCGCTCTACTCCCCTCCACGTACTCTCCTCCACGTACTCTCCTACCTCTCAACAGCAACCAAAGCTTCTAAGCAACCAACACTCAGTCGAAGCCCCCATTCAACCTTGGCTCCGTGAGAGGTCGGTTGCTCATTTTCCTCTGTAGCCCTCATAGTCTAGAACTCCCTTTGCCCAGCCTTCGGTGCTTTCGACTCCCTGCCCCTGATCAAGTCCAGGCAAAAGGCTGTAATTTTTTTCCTTTTGCCGATGACTGGCTGCCTCTCTACAGATTAAATATGCAGGTACAGAAATACGGCGCTTTACAAATCCACAATGGATTGTATACTTTGTTGGAAATTTCCATTCAATGTTGTAACATTTGACATAAACACGTGTTCAAAACAATAGACCATGTTGCCTTGCCCATCTAGCCTGATGAAGGATCTTTTTTAAAATGCCCCATTACAAAAATGATCCTCAGTCACTGGACACATGTCTGTGTGCCTGCGGATGACTGTGGCCTCAAAGTCTGCCTGGCACAGGCGCAGTGGTGACATCACCGCCACCTGGTGGCAAATAGCGGCTGTTGTTGTTGTTGACGGGGTGGCCTTGTGGTTGCCTGCGTGGAGACTGGTGGTGCAGTGGTTAACGCACTGTGCTACGAACCCAGTGGACCTGAGTTTTATTCCCGCTGACGACTAACTTCATTAACAAAATATCTTAACCAGTCCCATACCTCCCCTACATCGATGTAGCCTTAAATGAGTACCTTGTGTGGTGTGTAAACATCAGTATTGGGGAGACAAAGGTGGCCGGGCATGGTGCTACTCGCCCAACATCTTGCGTGCCATGCCAGCCCTAATAGATGTTCACCATCAGGACAGTAGACTCTCGATTATCTGCGTGCGGTTTATCCCATTAGCGGATTAACCGCGCACCTGACATTTTTACATAAATTCTTAAGCTAAACATAATTTAAACCTATATTAGTGGTTTTTGGCATAGGGATCCCAGGAAAATGGATATTTTTGGATTGTCTGTGATTTTAAATTAGCCGCGGCCATCCTCCCCCATCATCAGCGAGGATAATCGAGAGTCCACTGTACTTGTCTCAACAGTCTGTTAAAGGTTATATTGGGGATCTTTGCCTTTGTTTGCGCATGAGCAGAGTACCTGGACATGAGGAGCGGAGGGGGGAGAAAGGGGAAGAGGAACACCGAGGGTCATGGCGCCAGCTGGGACGACCGGTGGCTAAGGCAGTGCAAGCAGGAGGAAGACTTTGCTGTAGCGTCTGGCACTGTGAGCTGAAGGAACCGCACGGCATCGCCACTCGGCATCCCACCACTAACGCTCCATATCAGATCTGAGGGATTCCGCGAAGCATTAGAATCTGGATATAGACACTTTATATAAGCGAGGTTCTGATACAAGTGTCGTGGCATAGAATCAGTAATGTAGCATCATAGCGCTGGCTACTGGCGGGTAAGGGGATCTGCGGCATACAGCAGCCTGGATGTCAGCAGGCCAGGTGATACACCAGAGGGGGATCGAGGGGAAAGGTCACAGAAGGGGCACACCAAGAACCCGCTGGTAGGTTCTAGAAAGGGGGCGTGGCCGGGGGCGGAGCCAGGCCACGCTGACAGTATAAGAAGGGCCCCTGTGCGGGACCTCGGCTGTCGTATGGAGTGGGATCCCCGTCGTGCTGCTCAAGTTTTCACCATTCTTCTCGTCGTCTTTAACGTCCTTCCTGTCATCATCTCCATCTTCAACATCTCGGGGCGTCACCAGTCAGGCAACCTACCAACTGTCCTGACTGAGTAACGTCGCTGAGCATAGATGGACTTATTAGAAAGTGTTAACACCGATGGTGCTCGTTAATAAAGAAGTGCCTCAAACTCTTATTCGTCTCCGAGTTAGTCACTAGACAAGCGAGCCCTAACGTAACACCCGTGGGGGGGGAGGGGGGGAGAAGCAACCTTCCTTGCCTTGCTTCCGAGGTTGTGCCCATGTCCAGCTTCTAATTATAGCGATACTATGATGTGCTGTACGATATAACATCCAAAATGTGTTGTGATTTTCGTTGATAAATTAACTTTTGGAAATTTGTATCTTCTTGACAGATTAATCGGTTACATATATATTTAGTTATAAATAATCATCTACTCTTTGTTTTTTTTTCAGTAAAGTCACGTATAAATAAGAAATAATAAAATAACATAATAGCGTACGACGTTTCGGTTGCAACACAAGCAGCCATCATCAGGTACAGAAGAGCTAAATTTACGAGAGAGAAGAAACACATAACCTCAGATGTATATACAGACACCCAAGTAGGGGGGAACTAACACAGATACAACAGGGGACACAGAGAGAGAAGCATACCAAACAAACAGGGTTTAGCAAAATTTGGAAACCATATAAAGCAACACAGACGGTCGGTCAAAACACAATTAACGCATAGCCTGGTTGATTACGCTATTTAAAAGATTGCTAAATTGCAAGTTAAGTATGAAATTTAAAATACAGACCGCGCACACACACATAGACATCCAAGTAGAGCGAACCAGCACAGACACGCACACAGTGAAGTCGCCTTAAATAGGCAGAGAAGGTAAGGCTGAGAGACAATGGGACAAATTAGCATGAGGTATGCATGGAGCAAAGGGGGTGCGGCAGCACACACTCGGAAACACCAAGGCCCACACACAGGCAGAGACAGCACAGAGACACAAATCTAAGCCAAGACACAAAGGCAGATACACAAGCAGAGACAACACAAAGACACATACCTCTTACCTCCCCGTAGAGGTAGTTCAGACTTGATTCGAAGATTTCGTGACTGCAGGAATTACTCTTTGGTTTTTTCGGTAAAGTCACATATAAATAAGAAATAATAAAATAACATAATAGCGTACGACGTTTCGGTTGCAACACAAGCAGCCATCATCAGGTGCAGAAGAGCTAAATTTACGAGAGAGAGGAAACACATAACCCCAGATGTATATACAGACACCCAAGTAGGGGGGAACTAACACGGATACAACAGGGGACACAGAGAGAGAAGCATACCAAACAAACAGGGTTTAGCAAAAATTGTAAACCATATTAAGCAACACAGACGGTCGGTCAAAACACAATTAATGCATAGTCTGGTTGATTACACTATTTCAAAGATTGCTAAATTGCAAGTTAAGTATGAAATTTAAAATACAGACCGCGCACACACTGTATATACATCTGGGATTATGTGTTTCCTCTCTCTCGTAAATTTAGCTCTTCTGTACCTGATGATGGCTGCTTGTGTTGCAACCAAAACGTCGTACACTATTATGTTTTTTTATTATTTCTTATTTATACGTGACTTTACCGAAAAAACCACAGAGTAATTCCTGCAGTCACAAAAGCTTCAAATCAAATAATCATCTAATCAGTAAATTCATAGCTATCTGTAAGAGCCATAAGACAGAAAGTGTGTATTATTTCTGTATATACATCCATCATACATTTGTTGACGGACTGGTTATATTTTATTTGGAATATTCTAACTGTGTAGAAACCCCCCTGTGGTTAGACGCTCCGTTGGTTGAACCCATTACGTCAATTCCGTTTTTTACAGTATAAATGGGGGGCTATGAGAAGAGCCGGTGGGGAGCGAGTGGATACAGTCTTTTGACCGTGCGACAGGGTGATACAGTGCGTGAACAGGCGAATATAACTTTAGAAAACGCTCGTTTTTGTGCAACTAAGAAATAAAGAAACAGTTTGATTTAAGACACCTCAAACACGCGTCAGACTTTTTGCTCCCACAAGTTAAGGCATAGCTTATTTTCTGGTACAAGAAAGCTGTGCCAACATTAGTCAAAAGACTCCTACTCACGTGGAAGAAACCTACTCAAGTCAAAAGACTCCTACTCACGTGGAAGAAACCTACTCAAGTGAAAGACTTCTACTCACGTGGAAGAAACCTACTCAAGTCAAAAGACTTCTACTCACATGGAAGAAAGCCGTGCAAGAAAGAAGATAGAACGCTGTTCACGTCTCATCAACAAGAAGGCAACAATTTTGCGTCTAAGAAGAAGGTACCATTAAGTTTGTACGAGAGAAGATTGTTACCAAGAGTGAAAGACAAGCAAATGTTAATGAGTTACTGAAGCCTGCTAGTTACATAAACAGAACTTTGAGCTGTATTCACTTTGAGAAGCAAAGACAGTGCATATTTTAGGAATGGATCTGCAAAGGTTATTTAATTGAATAACTCTCAGAGTTTTGAAGTCTTTTGCAACTCGTTGTGAACTGAGGAAACAAGATGTCGGACCGCATGGAAAAGTCAGCTACAGTACAAGGCAGCACAAAGACGCGAAGTTTCGTGAGAACACGTCAAGCAGGAACGTGCGGTGTTGGCGGGAAAGCGGCGGTGCAGGCACCTAGCCAGGGCGCCTATGGCCATTTAGAGTCAGAAAAGTCCATGGAAAAGTGGATCACAGAAGTATCTGAAGATACAAGTGAAGATAATAAAGATGATGTTGATCCAGGAGGCAGCATATCATTACTATCAGTTCCACGGAGCAAAAACACAAGTGAACATCGCTCCGTAACTGGAAATTACTCAGTAGTTTCCTCTAAAAGCTCCACAATTTCGGCACGTGTACTAGACGAAGCAGAACACGCAGCTCTTTTAGCCAAGGCAGCATCTTTAAAGAAGAAACAAGAAATCGAGCTTGAAGAAATACAGCTGATGACAAAGTTGAAAGCTCAAAAGGAGCAATTGGAATCAGAGACTGCAATTGCAGTATCCAGTGCTAAGCTAAAGGTGTTTGGAGAATATGTGGACACTTTGGATGGCAAGCATGAGTATTTCAAAACCACGACAAGATCCAGCAGAACCTCAGGACTGGACAAAGAGTATAGAGACAGAGCATTTGAGAACCCAGCCGGCTCATGCTATAGGAGGATATGAGGACTCTAAATCAACTTCTTCAAGAGGTAGAGAGGCTGGTACAGGTACAGGATACTACAGACCCAGACCCAAGTCAACACCACCAGATGCCTGAAAGGAATGAAATAGATCTTTATCAAGTGATGCAGCGTCAGAACGAGATTACAGAGATGCTTGTAAAACAGAAAAATTTGTCTCAGCTTCTTCAGAGAGACATTCCTGTGTTCAAGGGTGATCCACTTGTCTACAAGTCCTTCATTAGAGCTTTCGAGCACACCATTGACAGTAAGACAGAGAGTAGCCAAGTCAAGTTTTATTACCTGGAACAATTCACCAGTGGAGAACCACAAAACCTCATGCGCAGTTGTGAACATATCAGTCCAACCAGAGGCTACCAGGAAGCTACTTCAGAAGCACTATGGTGATGAGCTGAAGATAGCCAGTGCCTATATGGAGAAAGCTTGGCAGTGGCCTCAGATCAAAAGTGAAGATGGACAAGCGTTGCACACATATGCATTGTTCTTGATTGGATGTCGGAACACCATGGAAGATATTGAGTACATGGATGAAATGGATAATCCCACGAACATGCGAGTGGTCATCTCAAAGCTTCCGTATAAGATGAGAGAGAAGTGGAGAGGGAAGGCCTTCAGTGTTCAAGAAAGACGAGGAAGAAGAGCCAGGTTTACAGACTTGGTGGATTTCGTCAACAAGCAAGCAGAAGTTGCAATGGATCCACTGTTTGGAGACATGCAGGACACCAACAGAGGTATTGCAGGAAAGGGAAAAGACAACACTGCAGACATAAATACCCATCAGAAGAGTGGCCTTAAAGGAAGCAGTTTTGCAATAAGCGTCATGTCTTCTGGAGAGGGGAAAGCACAAGACTCACCTCAGAAAAATAGTCGAGACAAGCCTGCTAATGCCTTCCAGAAACCCTGCTTGTTCTGTGAGAAGAATCACACACTAGATTCTTGCATTAAGATCAGAGAACAGCCACAGGAAGACAATTGAGTTTCTGAAGAAAAGAATACTTTGCTTTGTATGTCTTATACAAGGGCACCTTAGTAAGGAGTGTAAGAAAAGAATTACATGTGAAGAGTGTAACTTGAAGCATCCAAGCATGCTGCACGTCATTAAAGAAAACAGTGTCAGCTCTAAAAGAAATGAAGATGGCACCACTGAAGAGAAGATAGCCTCAAGTGCTATTGTGTCCCTTAAGCATGAAACTTGTGGCTATACCGGGGCTGGAGACGGACATTGTATTCTCGCCATTCCAGTGAAAATCAAATCCAAAAGAAGTGAGAAGAGTTTGGAAACATGCATTCATGGATCCAGGGAGTTCAGAGGCAGGAAGACTGAAATCCTTCTGCGAACCATGGGTCAGGAGAAGTTGGTGGGCAGACCTGGAAGTGAGTGGACTTGAGGAGGGAGATTATATTGACCTGCCAAAGGTCTTCACCCACAGTGAGATTCCAGTGAAGAAAGAAAACATACCACTACAGCATGATGTCGGGAGATGGCCATATCTGAGAGAAGTGCACCTCCCATGCATTGAGGCAGAGATAAGCCTGCTGATAGGAACTAATGCACACAAAGCAATGGAACCATGGAAGGTGATAAATAGTGAAGGTGATGGACCCTACGCAATCAAGACCACTCTTGGCTGGGTAGTGAACGGACCTATGAGAACAGGAGACGCCAATGGAAAATGTCAAAGTTTCACAGCAAACCGTATCTCCATCTCAAACATTGAAGAACTGTTAGTCCAACAATACAACACAGACTTCTCAGAACGCAGTTACGAGGACAAACCAGAGATGTCACAAGACGAGCATCAGTTCATGCAATCTGTGACAAGGTCAGCTGAGCTGGTTGATGAACACCATATCACTGGTTTGCCATTGAGAAGTGAGAATATGGAAATGCTGAAGAACTGCTGCGTTGCAAGGCAGCGCATCAGCAGTCTCAAGAGAAGGCCGAGCAAGAACCCAGATTTCCATGAGGACCACAAAGGCTTCATGAGAGACATTGCAAAGGGCTTTGCTGTGAAAGTGCCTAAAAAGCAGCTGGTACGAGAAGATGGAAGAGTGTTGTGTATTCCTCATCATGGGGTGTACCACCCGAAGAAAAAGAAGATCCGTGTAGTCTTCGACTGCACTGCAACATACCAAGAAACCTCATTGAATGAGCCGTTACTCCAAAGACCCCATCTCGCCAACACTGAATGGTGTGTTGACCATATTTGGAAAGGAACTTTGGGGTATGATGGCGGACATCGAGTGGTGGCCCGATGGCGACCTGAGTCAAGCCACAGAGGAGTACAGAATGACTACGCACCTGTTTGGAGCCATGTCATCACCCAGCTGTACATCCTATGCACTAAGAAGAACAGCTGAAGATGGAAGAACCGAGTCAACACCAGAGGCGGTTGACACAGTACGCAGAAACTTCTACAACGACGACTGCTTGAAGCCTGTGTGATCTGAAGACCGTGCTGTCACCCTGTCAAGAGATCTCCGAACTTTGTGTTCTATTGAGGGATTCATTTTGACAAAGTGGGTAAGCAACAGCAGAGTTGTCATACCGTCTATCACAGAAGAAGAAAGAGCTATAACGGTGGATAAGATGCTCGGACAAGAACATCAAGTGCTGCTCGAAGATTCTACCTTTTGGATGGATAGCACTACAGTGCTGAAGTATATAGAGAATGACACCAGTCGTTCCAAGGCCTTTGTGGCAAACAGGATCGCTACAATCTTTGAGGCAACAAAACCGACCCATTGGAAGTATATCAGTACCTTTGTAAACCCAGCAGATCATGCTTCAAGAGGTTTGAAAGCTGATAACTTCATAAAAAGTGAAATATGGATTCAGGGACCCAAATTCCTGTGGATGGCTCCAAGTGAATGGCCAGAACGACCAATTCAAATGAGTCAAAACTCAGATGATGATGAGATCAAGAAGTCGGTAACATTCAATCTCCTCAGTATCAAAGATAACTCTTATCCAGTGAACAGATTTGTCAATCACTACTCAAGTTGGTATCATCTGAAGAGAGCAATAGCATGGTTTTTTCCAACTGAAAGCGATTCTGCTGCATTTGAGGAATAAAATCAAAGAGTATGGAGCTACAATCAGTCAGGCTGAAAGTAACTCCGAGAGGCAGAAGATACTTCTCAAGCAGTGCATGCAGAAACTCAAAGCAACACTGGAAAAGGAACTGCTTACAGTGGAACATTTGACCCAGGCTGAGATCGACCTAATCCGCTTCAGCCAGAAGAATGATCAAGACCATGCCAGACTCCAACAGTTCAGTCTGTCGTGTGTGTTAAAACGAAGTTCAGCACACTAGAGAGACCTATTATAAAGCTCTATCTGTTACGAGAAGCAGCATGAAAGTATATAGATAAGATAAAGAGAAGGCTCAAGAAAGCCAATAAGTGGCAGAAATACAAGAAATTATTATTGTTATAAGTTAAGATTATTATTTTGAGTTTGTGGCTCTTAAGGTTAAGGTTAAGAGTAATTGGTATGCTCCCTGCTTAGCCAATTAGGGGCTGGTAATGTAAGAGCCATAAGACAGAAAGTGAGTGTATTATTTCTGTATATACATTTGATGTACATTCGTCATACATTTGTTGACTGACTGGTTATATTTGATTTGGAATATTCCAACTGTGTAGAGACCCCCCTGTGGTTAGACGCTCCATTGGTTGAACCCATTACGTCAATTCCGGTTTTTACAGTATAAATGGGGGGATATGAGAAGAGCCGGTGGGGAGCATTGGATACAGTCTTTTTACCGTGCGACAGGGTGATACAGTACGTGAACAGGCGAAGAAATAACATTAGAAAACGCTCGTTTTTGTGCAACTAAGAAATAAAGAAACGGTTTGATTTAAGACACCTCAAACACATGTCAGACTTTTTGCTCCCACAAGTTAAGGCGTAGCTTATTTTCTGGTACAAGAAAGCTGCGCCTACACTATCATCTATCAAATTAGTGATTTGCTGAATATTATGTCATTGCCTTGGCTAAACATCGTTAAAAAAAATTAACACTTGATTTTCTATCGTCACGTTTTGTGTGCTTGATGTAATATCAGCGGTTAATACCGGAATTCCACGTTTACTGCTTTCCAGCTCATAGGGACCCCCTAACTCACCGTTTTGGGCAACACTTTGCTTTTCCAATTGGTAACTCCCAAAGTTCCACGCAACTTTATACTAACATTTAAATAATTTTGTGTCATCTTTATCGTGATCCCCTCCTATGTACATTGAACTACTTTCCCGCCGTGTATAGCCAACTGTGCTAATCGGAGGTGCGGAGAAATGGACATATAGGCAGATGTACACACGTACAGAATGAATACATTCACGCTTTCAACAGCACTTGGAAAGTGTTGGGGGGGGAAAAAACATCAACTATATCCGTAGGAGTGTGTGAATGCGCGAGTGTCCCTCTGCTCAGATGTCCGAGCCTGGGCACACGGAGGAGGAGGAGTGTGGGGCTGCGTGCGGGTACAGCGAGTCCTACATGGGGGAATCGTGGCTCAAGCGGGAGACCTTGGATCCAGGTGGGTGTGATGAGTGGCGCCCAGCCCACCACCCCTCGCTTCCGTCGTGCATTTGTTGACTCTTAATTGCCCCCTTTACGCACATTTCTTTATCTCAATTATGCTAGAGTAGTAATCTGTTTAGATCTCCCGCAGAGAGAGAGAGCACTGCAACCCTGCGAGTTATAGAAAACAGCCAACGGAAGTGGATATCCAAGAGCTACCTCAGAGATCCCTTCAAGCGAGCTCTAATCTACACAGTAGGGGACTGCGCTTTCTCACTTGAGGGTAATGTTCGATGCATGATGGTCAAACCGATTTTTTTAATCCTCAAGAGTGGGAAATTTTCCAAATTAGGTAAACAGCCACATTTAATATCATGGGGATTTTTTTTGTCCATCATTGGTGACCGTGCTCAAACGATGAACTCGCCATAACTTGAGAACCCAGTTGTTTAGCAATACGTGGCTGCCTGGATTTGAACTCGGATCTCAATTATGCCAGCTCGGCGCTCTTGACCTCTGAGCCGCTGGCCGTGACGATATTGCACCATGTTTATTTTTTCTCATTTCCTTACAAGCTTAAGGGAAGAAGAGGTGTGAGAAGCATCTCCAGTGACAAAGGCAGTGCCTTTGTATTTATTTGTGTGCATTGCACCAGGCTTGATAAATATACAGCTTAAGTGCCTGTGAAGTGGTGGTGCGATGGTTCACACACTGCATCATTATATGTGTGACCAGAGTTTGATTCCTGGTCGCACCTAACATGAATGGATATATAAACTCGTTCCGCCTTTCCCTCGGTTGGCATTCACAAACCGGCACTGACTGGCATGGTGAAGTGTCATCCGACCCCCATACAGTGAGGGAAAAAAGTATTTGATCCCCTGCTGATTTTGTACGTTTGCCCACTGACAAAGAAATGACCAGTCTATAATTTTAATGGTAGGTTTATTTGAACAGTGAGAGACAGAATAACAAAAAAATCCAGAAAAACACGTCAAAAATTGTATAAATTGATATGCATTTTAATGAGGGAAATAAGTATTTGACCCCCTCTCAATCAGAATAATTTCTGGCTCCCAGGTGTCTTTTATACAGGTAACGAGCTGAGATTAGGAGCACACTCTTAAAGGGAGTGCTCCTAATCCCAGCTTGTTACCTGTATAAAAGACATCTGTCCACAGAAGCAATCAATCATATTCCAAACTCTCCACCATGGCCAAGACCAAAGAGCTCTCCAAGGATGTCAGGGACAAGATTGTAGACCTACACAAGGCTGGAATGGGCTACAAGATCATTGCCAAGCAGCTTGGTGAGAAGGTGACAACAGTTGATGCGATTATTCGCAAATGGAAGAAACACAAAAGAACTGTCAATCTCCCTCGGCCTGGGGCTCCATGCAAGATCTCACCTCGTGGAGTTGCAATGATCATGAGAACGGTGAAGAATCAGCCCAGAACTACACGGGAGGATCTTGTCAATGATCTCAAGGCAGCTGGGACCATAGTCACCAAGAAAAAATTGGTAACACACTACGCCGTGAAGGGCTGAAATCCTGCAGCGCCCGCAAGGTCCCCCTGCTCAAGAAAGCACATATACATGCCCGTCTGAAGTTTGCCAATGAACATCTGAATGATTCAGAGGACAACTGGGTGAAAGTGTTGTGGTCAGATGAGACCAAAATGGAGCTCTTTGGCATCAAACCAACTCACCGTGTTTGGAGGAGGAGGAATGCTGCCTATGACCCCAAGAACACCATCCCCACCGTCAAACATGGAGGTGGAAATATTATGCTTTGGGGGTGTTTTTCTGCTAAGGGGACAGGACAACTTCACCGCATCAAAGAGACGATTGACGGGGCCATGTACCATCAAATCTTGGGTGAGAACCTCCTTCCCTCAGCCAGGACATTGAAAATAGGTCGTGGATGGGTATTCCAGCATGACAATCACCCAAAACACACGGCCAAGGCAACAAAGGAGTGGCTCAAGAAAAAGCACATTAAGGTCCTGGAGTGGCCTAGCCAGTCTCCAGACCTTAATCCCATAGAAAATCTGTGGAGGGAGCTGAAGGTTCGAGTTGCCAAACGTCAGCCTCGAAACCTTAATGACTTGGAGAAGATCTGCAAAGAGGAGTGGGACAAAATCCCTCCTCAGATGTGTGCAAACCTGGTGGCCAACTACAAGAAACGTCTGACCTCTGTGATTGCCAACAAGGGTTCTGCCACCAAGTACTAAGTCATGTTTTGCAGAGGGGTCAAATACTTATTTCCCTCATTAAAATGCAAATCAATTTATAACATTTTTGACATGCGTTTTTCTGGATTTTTTTGTTATTCTGTCTCTCACTGTTTCAAATAAACCTACCATTAAAATTATAGACTGATTATTTCTTTGTCAGTGGGCAAACGTACAAAATCAGCAGGGGATCAATTACTTTTTTTCCCACACTGTAACAGGTATGGCGCGAGGAGGCCTTCTTCTGAGTGCGGAGTTGCTGAAGCGTGCGTCACTTGCCGTATTGTCGGTTGCATTACCTGTGGGTCATTAATAAAGAGATATTTTGCTAAACACCGCGTGACCCGAGTTCCTTCATCAGGGCACCGTGGTGGTGAAAATGTTAACAATAATTTATAAAGCGCCCTTAAACAATCGGTCTCAGGGCGCCTGGTATACAGGAGGTCGTGGGTTCGATCCCAACCCTGACGACTGTGTATTTGGAGTTTGCACGCGTCTCACCGTGGTCGTGTGGATTTTTCTCTGGGTCCTCAACAGGCTTTTAGGGTATTTGGCTGCTAGAAATGTCTACATGATAACCCACTTAGTTGAGCTATAATTTGTGGTCGGGTCGCTTTTGAAAAAAAACGATATAGTTCAGTGGGCCTTACCTGGTAAAATAAAAATAGTTTAATAGATAGTTTCGGTCTAACATTTATCAACACATAATTTATTCGTAGCTCATGTATATTAGTTACAAATATCCCAGTCATTTATTTCCGTTGTGACCATGAAGTCAGTGCTGCAGTTCGGAGTCCTATACACGACCTTAGAATAAATTGGAGTTGAATTGATCAGCGCAGGAGCCGCATCGCCATGTATACTGCGACGTGGGAGGCTGCGAACGCTCTGCCGAGAATGGAGAATTTCTCGTCGACGTCATTGCGGTCTTCGTACCCATGATGTTAGATCCCCAGGCCAACCACATTGAAAAATTTTATTTGTGGAAAAGATGATAATGGATTAGTGCATGACGATTAGAGATGGGGTTCCCCCCCCCCGTGTACATTTTGCACAAAGTTTATATTTAAAAAAATGTGTATTCAGTCATTCGCATTAAACTCGGAAAATAGTTTTTCTTAATGTTGCGCAAACCCAAAATAGGTCAAATATTTGCACATCAGCTCAATCTCCCAATCCGTGTCTTAGGTGCTAATTTGTCCTTCTTTGGTCTTGTATGTCAGCCTCCACACGCCGCCGTTTTGCTGTGAAGGTTGTTTGGCCATACTTCACTTTGTTGATCAGTGTGGTGAAGGAAAAAGGGGAGAGGTGGGCAGAACCATTTCCCGTATCAATGGTGTACAGAACAATCGTAAACATACACGCACACAAAGACCCGAATTATCCATACTAAACTACTGACACGTGGTTCAGTTGGAAAACCCTGCTTGTCTGCATACCAACATTTCACTGTGTGGTCCATGTTCCAGAAGAATTCCGCACTTCCGATTTAGCATGGTTGGCTACTTACGGTGTGAAACAAGTTCAAAATACATACAAGATTTGGCTACCACTAGAGAAAACAAATATATAATGATATCATCTTGATTTGAAGCTTTCGTGACTGCAGGAATCCATACTCTCGATGGTTCTTTCGGTAAAGTCACGTAGGTATCAAATAAAATAAAATATTTTACCGAAAGAACCAAAGAGTATAATGATACCAGTTTCCATACTTGGCTAATAAAAATTTATTGTGGGGTAATGCACTTATATAATATTGCATAGTGCAGTTTTGTTGGTGATTTAATCATGTTGGTACAACTCAAGTGTTTCCATCTCAGGTGGCACCAACAAGCAAAGTATTTGGTTAGGGCCAAACAAACCAGTGTGTACAGTAGTACTTGCATACAGTCCAATTGGATTTGCGGCGGTCAGGATTTAACACAGTTATCCGTGGCCAAAAGTGACCCCTGCCCAGCCCTGCATTACTGAAATTGCTCTGGTAAAGCATTATCATGCGCACGCATCAATGGCCCTGATGTTATCGCTCGCTGCACCGAGATCCCTGCATTTATTTATTGCAGCCATTCGTACATATGCTCTGGCAGTGGGCTACAATTTCAGAGAAGTTAAAAGTACATTTAAGTGATTGTCTCTACGTTGATGTTTAGAATAAATATTTATGCTTATGTATTCTTGGTTCTCTCGGTAAAGTCACGTAGAAGGGAAACAATAAAATAATAAAAATATAAAACGTGACTTTACCGAAAGAACTAAGAATATGAATCCCTGCAGTCACGAAAGCTTTAAATCAAAATGTATGCTTATGGTTAATATTTAAAGAAATAAACTATTTATAAAACTATTTTTTTTATCTTACCAGGTAAGGCCCACAGAGCTATATAGCTCTTTTTAAAGTGACCTGGCCACAAATGAAAGCTCAACGAGAAGTGGCTTACCATGTGCAAATTTATAGCAGCCAAATACTCTAAACGCGTGATGTTGATTCTAAATGTGGAGGGGAAAACAGAAGGACCCCGGAGTAAAATCCACGCGACCACGGAGAGAACATGCAAACTCCATATATACAGGCGTCAGGGTCGGGATAGAACCCACGACCTCCTGTATACTAGGCGACGTAGTTAACATCTCCTAGCCACCGTGGTGCCCACATCTCACCACCATGGTTGGCAGCCGGCACCGTGCCACAAGCGTGATAGATGGTTCTCGCGCTTGACTCTTGAGGGTGTTCTCCCCTCGCGTGTTTTTGCAGCACCCTGGGTATCTTTGCACACGCTCGTAAACTAGATTGGAACAGCTGAAAGTATCCCAAGCAGGACCCTTCTCAGAACTCGAGTCTGCTGAACTCGGTGAAGCCGTCTTCTGTGTACACGTACAGCCCTGTTGTCAATCCACTGCAGATGATGAAAGCCTCCCCTTACCGTACACGTTATGGGGGTTTAGTTATTTGGCCAAACTTCACCAAGCTGGTCGTAGTGGGTTCGTGAAGCTGGGGAGCCGTAGATGTGAGCGCACATGAGTACAGTACAACAATGGATCTGTATGCATTGTCCTCTACTGCCTATATAATTCTGAAAGCGATATTACCAACTGTTTGTGCATGGTGCTTGCCCATCCAAGCACTATCCAGGCTCAGTTCTGCTTAGCTTCTGAGGTCCAACGAGATTTTTGTGCATTCCAGGTGATTAGGTTATAGGCCTCGTGTGGATATGGCCCCAATGTGATTCCTGAAGGTTCTTGGAAGTGGCCCCATGAGCTGTCTCCCACTGAGATCCAAGATATATACATCTATACAGATTATTGAAATGGAAGGATAAGCAAAAGAGAGATGAGAGAGCTGAGACGAGATGTAAAGGTTCGTGAAATAAAAGAGAAATAGTCGTTTCTCCTATAACACCGTGTGTTTTAATAAAGTTAATTGGATATAACGCGATGAATGTATTAGGGAATGCATTTTTTATATATATAATGCGGATGCGAATTGGATATAACACAATATAATACGATCGAGTGACCGGAACGATGTCGCGCGAGTAGGAATAAGCGGTTGTACAGCTGCTTCGGCGTAGCGTCACAATGCAGATTGCGGCTGGATGCTTCTAGATGCTACCCATGCGCCTCGGTCTTTGTTCAACCTGCGTACGCACCTCACGTGTTATCGCGGACTGTGCTTTACCCTATATTATATATTATTTATTATCACGCGGCTTTTCCATAACGCGGTGTTCTTCAGAAACGCAACTACCATGTTATAGGAGCACAGACTAAACAAGAGATGGATGAGACCTGGAGACGAAGATGTACAGATTAGACGTGCCTCATGTGATGTCATAACGTCTGTTCACGTGACATGATGTCACGCTGCCCACCAGCACATGCTTAATGTGTTCATGCGGCTCACTAGAAATATAGTTGAAGAACCCTCATGTAGAAGAACCATAGGCTGATGGGTTAAATTGTTATTTTATTATTGCATGGACAGAGTGACAGTTCTTTTAGGGCTGCAGCCTTGATTTTTAACTGCCACCATCTGTACGTATATCCGCCCGCAGGACAGGAAGGCGAATATGGAATTGCGGGAGAGACGGCAGGAGAGACGGCAGGCAACATGACGAGCGAAACGCCATCGCAGTCGTGGGGAGAAGTGGAGGTAACACTGGAAGACTCGAGTGGTGATGGTGAGTATCGCTAACGGACCTCAAACAACTATGAAAGTATAAAATATATATTTTACCAGATGAGGCCCACTGAGCTATATACAGTAAACTCTCGATTATCCTTGTGCAGTTTATTCGATTTGCGGATTAATCACGCACCTGAGATTTTGACAAATTAACGACTCGAGGATTTTCCCTAAATCCCAAATTAATAATCGAAAAACGGTTCTACGTTGTTATTCGTGGACATGTTTATTACAAGTTCCTTGTTTAAACCGAACAAATATGTGCTCCCGTTAATCCGAAATCCACGTGATCGTCTCTACAGTACAGTGGTTGCATATCATTACAACAGTGGGCGGAGTTTGTATTTGATTGGCGTGGCTCTGCTGTTCACTAAGTGAGCCGAGTCTTTTGCGCGGGAGCAGGAAAGTGTTATCACTGAGCACGCGCATCAATCGGTCGATCGTTAGTATTTGTTATGAATCTAAAGAGTAACAATCAAAATCGTCAGTATTACTAATTTTTGTTTTGTTAATTAACAAACTACATTTTTTTAACTTAACCATAATTTATACCTATATTAGTGATTTTTCTCTGAAGAGATCCGTGGAAAATGTATAATTTTAGATTATCCGCGAGTTTAAATTATCCTCGGCCGTCCTCCCCGTCATTAGCATGGATATAATCTAGAGAATACTCTAGCTCTTTTTCAGAAGCGACCTGGCCACAAATGATAGTCCAACAAAGTGGCATATCGCGTGGAAATGTACAGCAGCCAAATACTCTAAACGCATGTTTATAAATGTGGAGGGAAAAACCTCAGGACCTGGAGAAAAATCCACGCGACTACGGGGAGAACTTGCAAACTCCAAATATACAAGCATAGGATCGAATCCACGACTTGTATACCAGTTGAGGTCGTTAACATCTCGCCACCGAGGTGCCCAGCGTTGGTGCTTGATAAGCACTGTGATCAGCCAGCAGCAGTGTCATCGTCAATATCAGAGTTGTCATTAAATTTTGATTTAAAGCTTTCGTGACTGCAGGGATTCATATTCTTGGTTCTTTCGGGAAAGTCACGTAGAAGGGAAACAATAAAATAATAATATAAAACAATAAAATTCTCACGACGTTTCGACTGCAACACATGCAATCATCATCAGATGTGAAAACCACAGCGCCTGATGATGATTGCTTGTGTTGCAGTCGAAACGTCGTGATAATTTTATTGTTTTATATTATTTTATTGTTTCCCTTCTACGTGACTTTACCGAAAGAACCAAGAATATAGAGTTGTCATTCGTATCGTCAACATCGGCAGCAGCAGCGGGTCTCTTTTGCCCAATAGGTGTCCCATCACATGGCAAACTGACATGGTTCGTTGTCTGCAAACCACTCCACCACGGTCCTTCGTATCCCGGCTCACCACTTCGAACCACACTTACTCGTATACCAAGTAATGTGATAACCCGACCAAAATGTAGGTGCAGTCAGCCATCAACCAACCATTTTTCACGTGGAGGATGTTGTGGAGCCATTGGTAACTCGCTGGTCTTGAGAACCGTGCCGAATTGCGGATGGCTCTTGAGATTCAAACGAAGGATGTGGGTGGCACTGGCTCTCAGTGCTTAGTAGATGGTTCCGATTGGCACGGTTGGCTACATACGGCGCGAAAAAAGTTCTGCATACATACAGTGCTGTTGCGTGTGGTAGATATTAGACCTTCGAGCGCTCTTGCTACCTCTGCTGTTAAAGTGGGATACCCTTCACTCACGTAGGTTTACACACGTCAATGCGACGGCTTAAGGGAAACAAAATATGAAAATACCCATTTCTAAATATACAGCTGTAATTATGTAACCTCGGATAAACTGGTCTTCCTTGCAAAAGAGGTGATGCACATCAATACGCTGTTACCTGGTTTGAGGCATTAATTTATAATTTCTCTCGATGAGCGTGACATTTTAACAACTTAGGCAAATTGAGAGGTGGCTCATACCGTAGGCCAAGAGCACTGAATTCTAATCCGGGATTCTATCACATGTGGTTAAGTGCAGTGAGTTTCCAGTCTTGGGATTCTATCACGTGGTTAAGTGCAGTGAGTTTTCAGTCTCGGCCCGGTTGTCAATCATTAAATGCCCATCACCATCGGTGGAGTTTGACTTCCATATTTTGGGGTGGGGGGGGCAGGGGATCGCTTTTCCCTCACTTTAGGAATTGCGGGTGCATATAATTCAAATTTTTAACAATTTTTATTGTAAACTACCGAAACTAAATTTATAAAGGTGTCTAGTTCGGGGGTGAGGGGGGGCACGGGGGTGCAACTTCCCTCCTCTCCCTCGCAAACTCCGCCCATGCCCATCACGTGATGCTCATGTGTGAATGTTCAACTGTCGGAGGACGAACAGCGCCCTGCAGGTGGCAATGTGGAAAAGGGTGCCCCCCTGGTGTATGGGGTAGGGGAGAAGGTCACTCGAAGGGATCCTCAGACATGTGGTTTCCCATCTGTGCCAAAGTGAAAATAGGTAGCCAATCAGAGTTAGGTTGAAGCTTTGTTAATTAAAAAAAGTCTTGAGGCTCTGTTAAGAAGAGCCATCAAAGTGGGTGAGTGACGTGACTGCAGCATCACTCGCGTAAGTGTCTAATACGTCTCTCTGCACTGATCCAGTGAATCTCTAAACTTGACATTCTGAGACATGGAGGCTGTCCCCTCGGGGTAACGGCGACTTGGGGTGGCCACCCTGGGCCCCGAACTTTGGGAGGCCCCCCGCGCTTCGATGTCACGGTGTCAGATGTGAAGGCGTCGGGGGGGGCCCACACTGTGATTTACCCCGGGCCCCGCACCCCGTACCAAGACAGTTCGCTTACTTACCTGTCTACAAGAGATGTTTGTTTAATGGGTTGTGCATCTTCCATCTTAGTGCCAAATTGCATTTTATTTTGACGTTGATTATTTTGTGGAGTCATTGGAGATACAGTTCACTGAACTAGAGAACCGACGAAAGCATTTTCTGGGTTCCAGCATTCAGTCTCTGTACTTTAGGAGTGCACGTAGTTATTCGCTGCCCGATGCCACTCCATATCAATCAACATTTTTGGGAGCCAACTTGGCTCCAAACTGTCCAGCTTCTCAGTGTAATCCCTGCGCAATGTTGCAGTGCTCTTTGACACATGGCTTTGTCCTCCAAGCAGAGATGAATTCTGGAAAGCGCAAGCAAGCGTACCTGACACCCGGCGCATCACCGCTGCTCCGGAAGAGGATCGTGCTGTCCCTGGAAACGAAATTGCGCATCCTACGGCGTCTGGAGAAGGGCGAGACAGCCAAGCAGCTCGCGTTGGAATTCAACTTGGGCCACCGCACCATTTACGACATCAAGAAGGCCAAGGAGAAGCTGTGGCGGCTCAACAAGGTACTGGACGTCGACACGGGGCTCTCGTACATGAAAGTGATCCGTGAGTCGCGCTTCCCGCAGCTAGAGGAGGCCGTGTACAAGTGGTTCCGGCAGCACCGTGCCATGGGCCTCCCCATCACCAGCTCCATGCTCATTGAGCAGGCGCGGCACTTCCACGAACACCTGGGCCTCACCGAGCCATTCGCCGCAAGCGCCGGCTGGCTCCGTAACTTCAAGCGGCGCTACTGCATCGGCGAGCTGGGCGTGTCGGGCATGGACCTGGGGCGGGAGAGCTTCGTGAGCACCCTGGCGCATGCCAAGGAGGACTTGGCCAACCCGCTGGTACGCGTCCGCATGGGCGGCGCCTTCCCTGCGCCATACCCCCAGGTGGTGGTGGAGAAGGTGTCGGATGATGCGGCGGAGGCCCTGGCGGCGCGGGAGAGCTTCATGAAATTCCTGGAGGAGCAGGGGTTAAGCCCACAGCAGGTGTATGCCGCCACGGAGACGGGGCTCTACTGGAAGAGTCTCCCCGCGCGCACCGCCGCCGGGAACTGCCGGGTCGGCAGGGATCGCATCGCGCTGCTCCTTTGCGCCAGCGCAGCAGGCACGCACCGGCTGCCCCTCGCCGTCGTGGGCAGGGCTGCCCACCCGAGGGTGTTCAGGAACCTGGACGTAAGCCTGCTGCCCGTGCACTACTACAACCACAGGCGTGCGTGGGTCACCACCGACATCTTCCGCCGCTGGTTCCGCGAGAGGTTCGTGCCGGAGGTGACGCAGAACCTGGAAGTGCTGGGGCTGCCGCCCAAGGCCGTGCTGCTGCTTGACAACTCACCCGCGCACCCCGACGACGGCTCGCTGTGCTGCGGGGACATCACCGTCTTCTATCTCCCCCCGAACTTGGCGCCAGCGCTCAAGCCCCTGGAGCAGGGCGCCGTAGGCCACCTGAAGGTGCTGTACCGCCGTGAAGTGGCGCGCGGGATGGCCTTGGGTGTGGATGCCGACCTGCAGTCCTACTGGAAGGACTTCACCGTGAAGCACGCCCTGTACACTGTCGCCGCCGCCTGGGACGCTGTGCACGAGAGGACGCTGCAGCGCTGCTGGAGGAAGCTGTGGCCGCGTGCGTGGGGGGTGGCTGAGCCCGGTATCCCCGACCTCGCTGTCGGGGGAGAGGCGGCGGGGGAAGCGCACGGGGAGGGAACACGCGGGGTGCAGGAAGACGAGGAGGGACTGAGTGTGCGCAGTTTTGTGCAGGTGTTACGCGCCGTGCCAGGCTGCGACCGCGTCAGGGAGAGCGACGTCGCCGAGTGGTTGGAGGTGGACGCCGCCGACCCGGGGCGCGCGCCGCTCGGTAGCGGCGCAGGCGGACGCGGCGCCGATGGCGGCGGCGACGCCAGCGACGGCGACAACAGCGAGCAGGAGGAGGAGACGGTGCCCGTGAGCCGGATCACTCACAAGGAGGCGGTGCGCGTGCTGAGCCGCGCCATCGAGTACGCGCAGGAGCAGGCCGACACGGACCACAGCGAGGTCTACCTGCTCATGGCGCTCAGGGACCAGGCGCTGAAGAAGCACAAGCAGCACGCATGCCAGAGGGTGCTGGGCTATGCCGTCCCTCCTCCGGCCGCACCCTCCACGTTACGGCAGTGACCGCTTGACCTGATCAATGCCGCCACCTTCCCAAGGTGTTATTCCGCTCCGTTACGTTCCGTTTGGTTGTGTCACTTGTGTCTTTACGCTGCTGACGGTCCCAAGCGCAGGTGTTAGATTATTTGGCTGCGCTGCATCGTGAGAAGTACCCACAATGCCACGGGAACATTAGCGGAGCACATGTTACTCAAAGTAGCCTGGTTTGCGTGCGGGTTTACGTGTCTAAAATTTTTATGAGTGTTTTTGGAGGAGCTGTCTTTTTTATGAGTGGTGCGACATATCCAGCGGGACCGTGCGATGACATGCACAATTTCTGGATATGATTTGAGTTATTTTATTGATTTTATTTGGCTTGACACTGTAAAAACATGGTGTGATTTGTGGGGAGTGGTGTCATTGTACTTACACTACAATCAAGCTGTCAAGGTTAAACTTCTTAGCACTCTCAGCAATTTTACCTAATGGGTCTCTCCTCTTGGTTGACAGCATGATTGTCTGGTGCCATCAGTCCAAAGGAAATAATATTTGGTCATACCACCCCATCGTGCAATGTGCTGGCCCAAATAGGTGTTTGCTAACATCAGTTAGTCCCAACAATTATAAGCAGGCCAAAAGGGCGTATTGCTATCAACGTATGAGACTCGCGTTGTAAAAGAGACATTAAAAATCGCTTATACTAGTAGGAACCCCCTGGTTACACCAGCCCACAGGGGATTCTTGTGTCCGTCCGTCGTGCATCCAAAAATCGAAGGGGTGGGGCTGGGTGGAGAAGGGAGGGTGGGGAGGGGCTGGGTGGGGAGGGAGGGGCTGGGTGGGGAGGGGAGGGTGGGGAGGGGCTGGGTGGGGAGGGTGGGGCTGGGTGGGGGTGGGAGGGGTGGCGCTGGGTGGGGAGGGGCTGGTCACCCCGTGGTGCCCTTATAAAGCTCAACGTTTAACCTACTCACGCCGGCTTGTGCCCGCCCTCACAGTCGGGCATATTTTTGGAATACGGCACGCCGCCATTGACCCTGGCCATTGACCAAGCAACCCAACGTTCCTACCAGCTCCCTCCGCAGGAATGTGTTTCACATTGAAGCCAGGGCTCTGTGAATAGTAGCTCGTCTTGCGGTGCTTGAAAGTAGTCAAAACACCATTTGTTACCCATTGTAACTTGGTTGCTTGCAGCTGAATGCCTTATATGGTGACGTCTGCCAATAGTTGCAGACCGGTTACAGTTGAGACACTCGACTTTGGAGTTATCTGCTCAGTGAAATGTCGTTACATTTTTCATATGCACATTTGGGAACTATGTTACAATCCTGAGTATGCCGTTTAATTTCCTATTTTTGGGCTCAGATGTGGACAATTCAAATCACAGTTGATTTGGTAGTGCTAGTTCAAGAGCAATTTGAACAAATGATCGCACTTAAGTGTGAACCTAGCATCAGACTGCAAATATCACTCTTGATTGCAAGCAGTAGTGGCTCAATACTGGGTTTTTGCATCACGTTAGGTGCCTGACAGTATTTGTGAGTTTTAAAAGGCATTTTTATGTTGTTACCAAAATCATGTTTGGTGATTAGCAGACGCAGGGGAATTATGTTTGTTGATTTCCTTTATTCGGAATGTTATTTCATATTTATAGTCTCCATAAATACGTATATTGAACTTCTTCCGCACTGTCTGTAGCAAACCATGCTCATCGGAGATGCGGGGGAAGGACAACAAACTAAAGACAAAAATAAGTTCGGAAGAAATTCATTTTCAATCTCGAAAATTTGTTTCCAATCTAATGTGCTGTGCTGTACAATCGTGCGGTGGTTAAACAGATCATTCAGAGAAACGGTGGACGGATGGATAAGGTTTCTCAGTACAAAGAACCACGTTCAGGTTTACCTCGCTTTATGCAGTAGATGAGTTCCAAAAAAAGGGCACACAGATCGAAACTGCACGAGACGGCTGCTGGTCGAGTAGCGTCTCCCACGTCCGATAGCGTAGCCACATGAGTGAATCCAAACAGCATAGAGCGAACTTGTGGTCGGAAGAGGTTCCTCGCACGCACGCGAAATTGGACAAACGGAACCCACGTAAAGCGAGGGAAACCTGTATTAAAATGTGCTAAAGTCTACTGATGTGTGCGCACGCACAACCTGAACACGGTACATCACTCTCACAGGGTTGATAAAATGGCTTTCCGACTTCGTACTGTCGCGCTCATACATTTTGTCTCGTTGTTTGATCGTTGTGGAAAACGTTTCCTGCTCTGACGAATGAATCACGATGTAAGCAGTCGTGCCCTTCGGCGTGCATGAAAGTCGTTTTGACGCAAGCTCGGAATTAGATGAAAATAAGTAAACCGCCTCGTCTCTGTGCTCTGTGTCTTTTTTTATTATTGACATGAATTCCTGCAGTCACTCAAGATTTGTAGAGAGCTGTCGCCGAAATAATGCGGGGTTTTTTTCAGAAAAAATTATGTACGTTGGTCTAGAACAGGGGTGGGGGGAACCTTTTTTTCTGCCAAGGGCCATTTGGATATTTATAACATCATTCGCGGGCCATACAAAATTATCAACTTAAAAATTAGCCTGTTATATTTGGTCAAACATTTAATTAGCTCACCCCTAATGCGATGGCTGGAACTGCTTCTCTTTGGTGAGGCGTATGGTGTTAGCTAGTATTGATGATGTTGCTACTCGCCGCTGCTTTTCCAGGTTTGTGTCTAGATTTATTGAATTTCGAGTCCCGTCTGCGGTTGCCTTGGCAGGCCCAGACCAAATGATTTCGTGGGCCTTATACGGCCCGCGGGCCGGACGTTCCCCACCCCCTGGTCTAGAAGGTCCATGGGTTGGACTGTTGTAACTTTACGGTTCATACTTTTGTAGCTTTATTCATCTTAGCCATGCACTTTATGACCAGATGAGAGCTCGTTGAGACAACGTCCTCTGTTGCTTCAGGGACCTGGGGTGCAAATAAAAGGTACAAAATACCAATCTAGGAAAACTCGAAAAAACATCACGTTTTGAGAAAAATAAATTTTAAGTGAAAATGCGAGCAGGATAGCCTCATTTGCATGAGCGACCTGGGTAACTGAAACTTTGGAAGTGAAATGCACAACCCAGGCCGACACACGATGCTGTGGGCGACCTGTTCACTACAAAAGAAATAAGGTGCAACAGTGAAGCAAAGGGGCCGTCCATAAATGATGTGACGCGATTTTGGCCGATTTTTGACCCCCCCCCCTCCTCCCCTCGACACAGGCATCACAAAAAATCAGACCCCCCTCAAATATGACGTCACAAAGCTCTGCCCCCCCTCCAAAACCATATTTCCATTTTAAAAATAAAACATGCTTCAAATCACTTTAAACTATTGTCATTGTAGTGCGTATTTAATGTGGCGCTGCACTTTGACGTTGTAGGAGAAAACATTAAAAAGGAGGCGTTGGAAAGCTGAAATTTAGCATAAAATTTACTTTAAAATATTCAACGTCTAACTAAAACTGCAGATGTTCTGAATATATTGAAATTCTCTTATAATTATAAAATATAAAAAGTAATTATAACTATTAAAAAATATTTGAAACTTTGTAGTAGAACGAAGCAAAATGGAGAGTACAATTAGATTCATTCCACAGAATGAAAAGCCCTGGTAGAATCATTAAAATATTTTTTTTAAATAACAATCATTAAAAGATTTAACAATATTTATGTTAAATCTTTTTATGCTTCTCCATTATTTAAAGTTGCGCATTTTGAAGTGACGTCACATTTCTCAAACCCCCCCCCCCTCGTCACACATCGTCACAAATGTCTGACCCCCCCCCCCCCCCCAGGTGTGTCACGTCATTTATGGACGACCCAAAGGGAAATCTGATCTTTATATAACTGCTTAACAAATCCAGACATTTCAGCCACGGCGGATGTGAGTCTGCGTGCGGAACACACCATCGCTCTGTTCTTGATAACATGAGTGCCATATTATTTGGTTCTTTAGGTAAAGTCACGTTGATAAAAAAACAATAAAATTCTATGCTAATTCCTTTGTCAAGGCGCTTTGTTTCTTCTCACACAGCTTAAAGGTCGTGATCTCAGCGTGGCTTTCTCACTCCAGCGCTGTCCTCAGACAGTCTCGTCCCCTTCACCTGATGAAGGCCGCTTGTGTTGTGGCCGAAACGTCGTGAGAATATTATTGTGTTATTTTATTTTAGCAATTTATTATTTTATTCTCATTCTACGTGACTTTACCGAAAGAACCAAAGAAGATGAATCCTTGCAGTCACGAAAGCTTTAAATCGAAATTTAAATAGAAAAATAAAAAAGCTCACGTTTAGATTTTGATTAAAATTTAAATTTTACCGCCTCTACGGGAAGGGTTTCCACATAACCATAAGCCTGATGACGACCGCTTGTGTTGCGATCGAAACGTCGTGCGTTTTTGTTTTGTTATTGTTTTCTATCTACGTGACTTTACCGAAAGAACCAAAGAATATGATTTCCTGCAGTCACGAAAGTTGTCAATCAAAATTTTACATGAGTGCCACTTCGTGAGCAGTCAACCGATGAATAGGCTGACCCCTGGCACAGGAGCGTGGAATTTCCACCGCTGGTTCAGCACTCGTCACGCAGGTGACAACTGGCCGACACGATATTGGGCGTGGGGCCATTATATTAGATCGCGTAAATATGTGTCGTTAACCTACTACCACAGCCAATTCGTAGGGTTTGTAACCTAAACAAAACGTGCCAATTAGTGACCACTTCAGCACATCGGTCGCGTTGGAGAGTTAAGGCCCCATAAACCTTATGAAGTAGCAACTAATTGGCACGTTTTGTTTACGTGACGAACCTTTACTAATTGGTGGTGGGTTAACGACACATTTCCGCGATCTATCCCCCCCAAAAAACCTTGACTTATGAATAATATTGGTAGCGAAAGCCTCCAATATATCACTCAACGAAGCCCTCTATCCAACCACATCACAGTTGCAGTTCACGAACGCCCCCTTCTCTCTCATCCCCCCACCTCCCCCGTCGACGTCAACATTTATCTCGCTGGCGTTGTGTGGCTCACGAACGCAACCCTACCCCTGCGCCTCCCCCTACCCCCTCGGGATTACCACAAACACTTCGGCGTAGCTTTAGCAATTGTCGAACGCACCCCCGTAAGACAGTTTGACGCACGCGCGAATTGTTCGTTCGCGAACGCACCCCCCCCCCTCCACCACCACAACCACTAACACACAGACAAAGGTCCCCCGTGTAGCCTCCCCACCGCCACCACGCGGCCGCCGGGGCAAAGTGCAGTTAGCGAGCGCCTATTGACAGCCGGCGATGGCGCGCAACGTGGCGGCGGCGGCGGTGCCGGTGCCGGCGCTGCCCTGGACATCGCCGCGCCCGGCCGCCTTTGTTTCCCCGGCGCCGATGTTGTCCGCCGCGCGCCAGGCGCCCGTCTGATGCCGAGCCCGGCGACTCTGCGTGGAGGCCCAGGGGAGCCGCCTTCTGGTGACCGCCACCGATGGTGGCCGTGAGAGGCGGCGGCGACGGCGGTGGCGATTCGCGGCCCAACTTCGTCTCCGAACGCCGTGAAGTCGTGGACAGGGCAGCCGGACCCCACCAGCGGCTGCCTGCAGGTGAGAGAGCGACTGGGGCCAGGCTCTGTCGACTGCTGCATGAAGGGTCAGCGCTTCGGAGCCGTGGTTTTAATCTTGTCAGGGAGTGTTGAGAGCCTGGGAGCCATCGGCGGCTCAGCCACCGTCGGGGTGTGAGCCATCGCAATGTGAGCCTTTAGAGGTGTGAGCCGTCATCGGAGAGTGAACCGTCGTTACAAAGAGCGATCATCTGAGTGAGCCATGGGAGAAGTGAGCCATCATCTGAGTGAGCCATCATCAGAGAGAGAGAGAGCCATCATCTGAGTGAGCCATGAGAGAGGTGAGCCATCATCTGAGTGAGCCATGGGAGAAGTGAGCCATCATCTGAGTGAGCCATGAGAGACGTGAGCCATCATCTGAGTGAGCCATGAGAGAAGTGAGCCATCAGAGAGGTGAGTCATCATCAGAGAGAGAGAGCCATCGGAGAGCCATCATCAATGTGGGCCATTCGAGCCTGAGCCATCAGTGTGATCCATCAGAGATTGATATTTGAGCAATTCATTGTATGACTTATTGTGGATTGATTAATCAGTAATTCCTCGGTTGTCTGATGCAGCCAGGGATTATTGATAAGTTTGGGATATCATCTATTAGGGGTTGATGCATCAAGGTTTGGGATTGATCAAGCGGTAATCCACTATGGGGGGTGGGGGGGTATTGTGCCTGGTGTGAGTCCTCGGTGATTCATCGCTCAGGGTTTGACCAATCAGCGCCAGATCTCGGAAGCTAAGCAAGTTTTTAAGCCTGGGTAAGTGCTCCGTTTTCTGAGCACTATCCACTACGAAGGCGCGGTGTAGGCTGCCTTGTGCTGCTTGATGTGCATCAGCAGTGCGCTTTTAAATATGGTATTGTACTGGACTATGCTCCCACGCCGCCTTATGCTCCCCTATTTCACCAACCCACACGCAGCGGTGGCGAGATGTTAACTGCCTCGCCTGGTTTTCAGGAGGCCGTGGGTTCGATCGTGACACTGACGCCTGTATATGTGGAGTTTGCGTGGCTCTCTCCGGTTTTTCCTTCCACATTTAGAAAAAAAACACGTTTAGAGTATTTGGCAGCTAGAAATGTCCGCACGATAAGCCACTTCGTTGAGCTGTCATTTGTGGCCAGGTCGCTTCTGAAAAAGAGCTATATTGCTCAGTGGGCCTTACCTGGTCAAATAAAAAGTGTATTTTAGTGTGCATAAGTATGGTCAAATATCCCCTACGATTCATAAGTTAATTTATAAAAGGGCTGTACATGCAATTGTGTTATTAGGTGGTAATGACCGTGAGGTTTCCCCGATTCGTGGAAATGCTTCCTTGCGCTTGTTTCTCAGACGTCCCCAACGGGTGGGAATCCTCTGGGCTGCAATCGGATGAGCCGGGGTCTTCTTCTCGTTTGGCGCTGTCGTGCGCAGAGATGTCGGCTTCGCGGAGAGGCAGAGGACCCGATGCCGCCCACGTGGAGGTGAAGATGGAGGAAAACAGCGATGAGGGTCCGTGTCGCGCAACGGGGGAATTTGCCCACGGCTGCTCCGGAGCACGGCCTTAGGTTGTTGCAAGAGGCCCCTTCTTGAGTCTGCCACGTTTTTCAGAGTAGACCACGGCCTAGGTCAATAAAAACTATGCAGTATACTGTGGTGGCGAGTGTTAACCACCTTGCCTGGTATGCCGAAGTTCATGGGTTCGATCCTGACCCGGACGCCTGCTGTATGTTTTGAGTTTGTATAATTTCCCCACGGTCGTGGGTTTTTCTCCAGGTCCTCTGGTTATTCCCTCCACATTTAGAAACATGCATTTAAAGTGTTTGGCTGCGATAGATTGCCACATGATACGCCACTTCGTTGAGCTGTGATTTGTGACCAGGTCGCTTCTGAAAAAGAGCTTTGTAGCTCAGTGGGCCTTACTTGGTAAAATAAATAATTGTTTGTTTTTTAGTTGAAGTAGATCCAACACGATATTGGTACCACCAGATCTTGGTAAAAAATAATTCCCGCCATCAAAAAACACAGATGCCAATTCCCAAACTGTTTGGGAGTTGATCAGGCTTTTTGTTGCCTTCATCTTAATTGTTAATGAAGTGAAAAATGTTGTGATTTACCTGCAGGTAGTGATGAAATTTCAGTTTGTATGTTTCACCGGTACACAATGCCCTACGCTTACAAACGATGTTGTATTTTTAAAGGTTGACGCAACTCAAAATAAGAAATAATCATGTATACATATGGATTACTTAACGTTTTCCAACATGCATTTGTGCACAACCATAGTATGCTCTAGTGTCATGAACGTGGTATTCTTGCCCTACCTTTTAATATGACACATTGTGTCGCGCCTCCCCAAATCTCTCATTTTGAAACTTCAGAACATCCAAAATGTACCTATGTATGTTAAAGTTCTTCCGCAGCGTACATAGCCAACCGTGCTAATCAGAGGTGTGGGGGAAAGACAACAATCTAAACACAAAAAGCCGTTCTGAAGAGATGAGTTTTCAATCTAGATTTACCAAATATGACGTTAGACTTCTCACTTGTTTCCATAATCGAGATCACAGCTCTCATACCGTTGTTTTTCCTGCACCGCAGACATGGGTGAGGTTAGCAGTGGAGCTACGGGACAGCAGCATCGGTCACCATTGAGACGTGTGGGAAAAGAGGGACCTGGAGCTGGGCAAGAGCTCGAGGGGGGGGACGAGGGATGCGGTGGTGGCGAGGGCTGGCAGGAGGACTGGCACGAGGAACCCAGAAACGTCGCTCTCTCCTGCGTTGGTAGGCGAGCGCTCACCTCTACACCCTCGCCTCTTACTGGTGACGTCACTGCTACGATCATGCGGCTATCTGGATGATCTATTGCACTACTGTTTGGTTCGATTACTCGACGAATTGGACAGCACGAATATACGGAAGACCCAACTTACGGAAATCCGACTTTACGGAAATGCTCCCGTAAATCATGTAAAAAATGCAATACTGTATGCGTAAATGTTTGCATTAGTTGCGTAAGCGCAAACAGTGCGGCGCGGTGAGGTTGCGGATGAATCCAGCAGAGCGGGGCGTAAGGCGGTATTCATAAACAATTGGACACAGTTCAATATATGTTCCATTAGTTTAATTATGGGTAGTGTTAGGGTAGATGTTCGATCAAATGAAAGAATCATAGGAAGTGCAGAGGGTATGTATAGCAATACGATACAGGTAGCGATGGAAAACGGATGACAGCGCGACACAGTACTGAGAGAAAACGGTAGGGGAGGCACAACCATTTCTGGATATGCGATTTTATTGTTGATTTTGGGGGGGAAATGTTCAGTTTATGACATGGAAAATTCGGGTTACGGATATTTATCGGGAACCTAACCCTTCTGTAACCCGGGGACTGCCTGAAGTCGGAAAGACAAAGTCTTCACCTCTCTTCCTCGAATTGCCGCTGGACGGGAAGACGATGGGCGAGGCTTGCTGGGGTTATCAGCATCATCAACCAGGTCACGCTGGGCATCTTTGTCGGAGGTTTCCTGCCTTCTGAAGGAATTTTTGTAAAGGGGCCTGTGTAACTGACCACTAAAAAAAGTAGTCAATTGCAATTTTTACTTTAATACATTTTATCAACCAATCACGTTCTACCCAATCCCGAGGGCGAGAGTCCAAGCCACGGTTGTTGCTGTTGCGGCTGCTTAGAGGTGGAGGACGACTGCCCGGGAGATGGAGCTGCTGTGGAGAACGGCAATGCGGAGGAGGAGGGGAGTGGCTGGAGTCATCGCATGCCCACAGTCAATGAGGGCGACGCGGAGGAGAGCAGCGACAGTAGCGATGGTGAGTAGCGGCAGCGTTCTTCTCTCTCCCCATGTATGCGATCAAAGCAGCATCAAAATTCCATTACCGGGCTTCCTCACCCACATCTATAAACGAGGCCAAATAGTCTAAATACTCCCTCCAATGGCTGCCACTGCAATCGGATTCCGTTTCAAGATCAAAATCGTATTCATGGGCTTGCCCCTGCCTCTCCCTTCTCGTTCATTCTACTCTCCACACACTGTCTCATCTCTACTCTACTTCCCTCCACGCATTCTCCCCTCTCAAATCACATGACTCTCCGCCACGCACAATCCTACCTCTCACTTCTCGTCTCACTCTCCGAACTGTGCGACGCACTTCATTGACTGTGCAAATTATGTACGACCACAATCGCTGAGAGACGTTGTCTGTGGTCGCGGTGAAATGTGTTTCCCAGATGAGGAGGACGAGGAAAAGGAAGTGAGGCTGCAAGTGTGCGGGGTTTGCTGGAAGGAGTTCCCCCGGCTGTCTTGCTTGAAGCGGCACCTGACGTCGCACACAGGCGAGAAGGCGTTCCCATGCAGCGCTTGCGGGAAGCACTTCTCCAGCACGTCGTCGCTCAACAGGCACCGCAAGACGCACGAGGAGGTGAAGCCCTTCGTGTGCACGGTGTGCGAGAGGCAGTTCTCGCACTTGGACTACCTGAGGAGCCACCAGCGCACGCACACCAAGGAGAAGCCCTACGCGTGCAGCAAGTGCGGCAAGGCGTTCACGCGGCTCACGTACGTGAGGGAGCACGAGCAAGCGCACACCGGCGCGAGGCCGTACGCGTGCGAGCTCTGCGGGAAGACGTTTCCCTACAAGACCAACATGAAGATACACATGAAGAAGCACGGCGAGAAGAAGGAGGTGTAACTCCCTTCAAGCCGGGGGCTGGGGAAATTTCTCCTACCTCTTTTTTCCACTGCGCAACCGGGTCGTGCCGTGGCCAGGCCATCGCCGGTTGGGTCAGAAGGCGCCAGGTTGTTTTTGAGCTGCCGACGTTTCCGGCAATGGAAGAAGCCGAGACGTATGTAGATACTAAAACTAAACAATTTTTTTTTCCAGTTAAGGCCCCACTGAGCTATTTCGCTTTTTCAGAAGCGACCTAGCCACAAATGATAGCTCAGGCAAATGCTTTAAACGCATGTTGATTCTAAATGTGGAGGGGAAAACCAGAGGACCTGGAGAAAAATACACGCGACTGTGGGGAGAACATGCAAACTCTAATTATACAGACGTCAGGGTCTAGATCAAACCCATGTACTCCTGCATACCAGGCGAGGTAGCTAACATCTCGCCACTGCGGTGATGCCGTGTCCTCACAGTGTACCGATTTACGTCGCATGTAACCAACGTGTTATTAAACCTACCCCTGGCCTTGCTTGGCCCCGAGTAAGATACAGATGTCTTGTGAATCCAGTGTATCACAGTTTGGTATCAGTTTGACTCGGAACATAGTGGGAAGCACTGTATTGTGAATGCCCTGTGCTGGCTCAGCTTGGATATGCCAGTGGAAAAGGGCCGAAGAGGGTTTTAAAAATTTCCTTTGGCGGGGATACACATGAACGCACACCTCGGCGTGTCAACCGAGTGTAACAAAGCCTTCGGGAAAGACAAGCGACTGAGCGCGCGAAACTGAGAAACACGAGCGTTATTGCCAAGTTGAAATTATTCTTTCCCTTGAACCCTATCAATGCGGAGTAACAGATAAATGGTGTTTGCGGGCCACTTCGAAGTGATAGGCCTCGTGTTGCCATGGGGCCGTTCTGAACTATGAAATGAATCGTGGGCGGCAGGTTCCCCACACTTGCTCTAATGAAACAGGAATCGTGATGTCATCGCCAAAAAGTGATAGCACAGCTGTTTTTGGATCGAACATGTCGGCTGTTTCTTGAATAAATACACAAACTGATTGAAGTTATATTTGTACCCAACATAGCTTCAAGATCAAGAGTCGTCACGACTAGTGTCCATCGATGCCACCACACCTCACCATCACTGTCTCCCTTCTGCTGGATACTGGAGCCATTACATCGTTAAAAGCCATCGCCCTCCCCAAGGTTGCGCTGAGTCTAATCATCACCACCACCAAAGTTTAAACCTCCCCTTGGTTGCTAGCCTCTGGCTGACACTTCCAATACATATCTCAGCAATGTAGCCTCCTCCAGCCCACACGTGTTCTCACTAAGTCTTCTTTATATACACGTGGATTTCCAATTTCATTATCTACCGAACTTTACAGTTGCTTAAAGTCTCCTACTATGAAATTCCTAGCAACGTGGCAAGTGCTTTCAAGATGTCGTCTGAAATTCTCTTACGATATTAAGAAGCCACTGGAGTTGTGCACTTTTAAATCTAAATCTAATTTTTTTTTAGAACTGCTTGTGTTTAGTTTGTCTTTCCCCCGCACATCCGATGAGCATGGTTGGCTACGTACGGTGCGAAAGAAGTTCAACTTGCATATCTTAAATCTTAAAACAACCTTGGCAAACAAATGTTATTGGATAGGCTCAACTTTAATAACAGTGGTTGCCAGTGGACAAATCCAACGTAGTAGTTCAATAACTTTGAAGCGTCGTGCTTTCTCGTTTAATAAAAAAATGTCCTGCAAGAGAAGAGCCATGATAAATTGGATCCATATTCTTTAGTTCTTTCGGTAAAGTCACGTAGGTAAAAATAAAACAAAAATTAAAACAACTAAATTAAATCACAACGTTTCGGGCGCAACACAAGCGCCCGTCATCAGGTGGGACACAACAGTTATAAACAACTGCGGAACTGGGCAAGAAATCTGCAGTGAAACAAGACGCTATATAAATAAGAGAGGGGTGGGAGGAGCCAAGGAGGAGATACAGAGTGGGGGGGGGGGGGGTGCGTGGGGCGGGGCATAGGAAGATCAAAGAGAAAAGGGAAGCCACTAAACATGCTGAACATGCTGCAATGGACAACATGACACTAAACATGCTGAACATGCTGCAATGGACAACATGACACTAAACATGCTGAGATACAGAGTGGGAGGGGGGGGGGTGCGTGGGGCAGGGCTACGTGACTTTACCGAAAGCACCAAAGAAAATTGGTTTCGGACTCATTTAATTGCTCCTCTGCATGTAAATCTTTTAAAGGAGAAGTATTTATTTATTGGCTCTGAAGAGAAACCAGAGTTAACTCTTTGCGCCCCCACTCGTTGCTACTTATGTGAACGCTCCATTTAAAGCCCTTGAATCCTTCTTTCGTTGCACATTCGTTTTGTCATGTTCCATTTAAACACAACCGTAAATTATCCGAATACACCTCCCTATTAGTTCTTACTTTTATTGGCACTAAAACGTCTAAAACGCTCGAGCTATTCGTGTAAATTGATTGTTTATTGCGTTATTTCCATTACGCATAATGGAGTATTGGATCATACTTCACCATGATGGTGAGTGTGAGCTGGTGAAAGTGAACAACATATCTATATGTGGGAGCATAGTCAGGCACGACTTTGTACATTGCTACACGCTCCGGTGTTCTGGCCAGAATATATAACATGTACGGTAAATATAATTACATTTAGGCTTTTATTCCGTGATAAGAATGCACCCATAATAAATATTCGCACAATAGATTGTGGTGATGTGTGAATGCGTGACGTTGCCTGAACTGCGCATTGATCCAAATGAGAGTAATTCACCTAGCTTCACAGTCCCCTTGGAATCCGTGCTGAAGCTTTCGTTAATTCTCATAGTGATTGTGATTCCTGTTCGTTCTTTTCTCAATCCGCTTGTCGTGGTGAGGGTCGCGGCGGCAGCACGTTGAGTAGGGCGGTACACACCTCCCTTTCCCTGGCAAGACACTCTAGCACTTCCTGGGGAATTCCCAGGCGTTCCCAGGCCAACCGAGCGACATAGTCATGCCAGCGTGTCCTGGACCGGCCCCGGGATCTTCACCCAGTGGCATTTAATTTCTATTGAAACGATCAACGCGCACGTCCTTTGGGTGTGACCATCCGTCTCTTCCAGCCAGTCAGCAAAACTTTTATTATAGAGCCCTGTCTCCACCTTTCTCTTTCCTTATTTGTCATGTATATCATCACAGATTATCTCGATTTCTTGCTCTGTCGCTGTTTCTATCCGCTTCTCAATTCCTCTCCCCTCTCTTCCCTGCACTGTATCTCACCCACTTCCCTAGCTCACTTCATGTTTCTCAAAGTAATTGAAAATATGCTATAAAAGCATTTTGCTGTTATGGAGCTATATGTATATATATCTCTTTAAAAAAATGCTATTTAGCTCAGTGGGCCTTACCTAGTAATAAAAACAATGTATAGTAAATCTAAGTGTGTTTTCAAACTGGCTAACAATAATTGGCAGTCTATTTTATACGTAATGAGTTTGCATTTATAAGTACGCGATCTAATCCAAAAAATATGGACGTAATAATGTTGTGGGCTTTAATGAAAATGTAAAATATATAGTAGTTGGGTTTTCAGACTTGTGTCTCCATGGTGTAGATTTGATTATTTATCATTTGCATTGCTAAACAGTTGTAGATGAACAGTATTGTGGCGATGTCAGAACATATTACATTTTATACTCTTTAGTTCTTTCGATAAAGTCACGTAGGTAGAAAAAATAAATGCTAAAGCACGGCGTTTCGGTTGCAACACGAGCAATCGTCATCAGGTAGAAAGACACAGCAGTGGAACTGCTGAACAAGAAAGGGCTGTTGCAACAAGAGGTTATATACAGGTTTGAGGTGGGTGTCACCGAAGGGTAAGTAGGCGGGGTAAGAGATGGAAAGGAGTCCCGTACGCACTCACAACAGCTGCACCAAAGGAGGCGTTTGGCGTTAGGAGAAGTGACAACACAAGAGTCAACACCCCACCTGGTTCATTACGTTCTTCCAAAGATTGCTAAATTTGAGAGAGACATACACACATAGGCACACACTGTCTCTTTGTCTCTGTGTGAGTCTCTCTCTGCTTGTGTCTGCGTCTCCGTGTTTATGTCTCTCAAATTTAGCAATCTTTGGAAGAACGTAATGAACCAGGTGGGGTGTTGACTCTTGCGTTGGCCGACTATGTTGTATTGCATTATATTTGCAAGTTTACTATGTTTGTTTTCTCATTCATTTGTACCTGATGATGGTTGCTTGTGTTTCAATTGAAACATCGTATTCTATTATTATTTAATTACATTTCTTTCTTCGTGACTTTCCCGAAAGAACCAGAGTGGCTTAGATTTCATAACTATAGCTGCAAGTGGACACGTTAAATCAAGCAGCATACGCTTTCTATTTTTTGTTTATGAATGGAACCCTGCCGAAGCAGGGTTACGAAAAATTGTTTAAGACTCATTAGAGTGTTCCTCTCCACGGAAATCTTTAATAAAGGTATTTAAAAGCGTTTGTTTCAATTAGAGACAGTCAACAGTTTCAAAATAACAACAACCCACAAGAGGGACATTGCCACCAATACAGAATCCCCCACAGTTCCACAACACATGGAAAGTACTGACAACCACAACACTCTTTCCTGGTCTATCACATATATAGCAAACAAGAATCCGCAATTGCCGACCCGAGTCTCACTCCTCAATTCCCAGTACTATGGCTACATTTATTTTTATAAGTGCTGCCTTTATCAACATGCGTGGCATGGAGGCGGAGGCCACTGCCATTTCTTTTTTGCTGCCTCACTGCCCATTCGTGCCTTATCCACCTCCAGCACCCGCCAAAGCAGCCTGCAGGTCCGGCGGTAAACATCTGAAGGTGTCATATAGGTGGCCCTGGTCATCAAACCTCGCGCCTTCCACAAGGCTTCTTTTACATCCCCAACAATGGCCCATGCCTGAGCCCAGGCCCTTCCCGCCTTCTGCCGAAAGACTCCCCAAATAATGCTTGGCACATTAACCATGACAGGATAGAAAGGTGCTAACAAAGGCCGGCACAGCTCCCACACTTCTTTCGCAAAAGAACATCGCACAAACACATGACCTGCATACTCATCCGCACTTAGGGGTGCGGGCCAATTAGCGTGAATGCATAAACGCTCTGCATGTCAGCCTATCCCAGACCGACAGCCAAGATATATCCCTTTGCACCTTAGTGCCTCGGAAGAAACGTTTCCCCATATTTGCTGGTGAAGGACACTCCGTGCACCTGGTACCCCTTCGCAGGCATCCTTCTTGACAATCTCAGCAAGGACACTTCGTGGGAGCCACGAATCTCTTACAAGGGCCGGCTCATATTCTAAAATGTACTTGCTAACCGCAGCACACAGCCACCCCTGCGTCAAGCGAGGGGCGTACAAAGAGGGAGTGAAGCCATCCCTAATCTACGTAGGAGCCATGCCAGTCTATATTGCACAAAATATGAGGCTTTTGCCTGGAGCCCATCTGCAAAAAACAAGCGAATTGTATTACAAAGATTGTACTCAGAATACGTGCGACGTTAGGGGCTGCCCTCCCACCGTTTGCAGGATTTTTATACATGGTCTCCCTCTTCACCCGGTCCATCCCACCCCCCAGATGAACCTGAAAAACAGCATCTCAATATAATGCAACGTTTGTGCACCTGGCAGAAAGGTGTATGCCAGGTAATTGAGCACAGGTAACATTTCTGCTTTCAAAACCAAAATCTTCCCTTCCATAGTAAGGCTTCTGGTCATCCATCTGACCAGCCTGCCCTTCACAACCTTCATCTTTTCCCTCCAGTTCCTTTTCCCAGAATCCTTTAGATAAAAGGTGACCCCCAATATCCTAATCCCTTCCACCTGTACTCTCAACTCCGTCGGGCAACCTTCGAAGAGCTTAGGGTTTCCAAAAAACACTATCACTCTTACTCAGGTTAATCGTAGATCCTGAGGCTGTGAAAAAGTCTTGCTAACTCCAAAACCCCCCAAACCGAGGAGACATCCCTACAGAACACCACGATATCATCCATATACAGAATTATTTTTACCTGCTCTCCACTCCCTGGGATGAAAACCCCTCGATTCCTCTGACTGGCTCTAACAGCCTGGGCAAAAGGTTCCATGCAAATAACAAACAAGACTGGTGACATGGGGCACCCTTGCCTCACACCCGATCTAACTGGAACAGCTTCAGACAGGACCCCATTTATCAAAAGTCTACTAGTAATATTACTATATAACTTTTGTACCCAACCAACTACAGTGAGGGAAAAAAGTATTTGATCCCCTGCTGATTTTGTACGTTTGCCCACTGACAAAGAAATGATCAGTCTATAATTTTAATGGTAGGTTTATTTGAACAGTGAGAGACAGAATAACAACAACAAAAATCCAGAAAAACGCATGTCAAAAATGTTATAAATTGATTTGTATTTTGATGAGGGAAATAAGTATTTGACCCCCTCTAAATCAGAATAATTTGTGGCTCCCAGGTGTCTTTTATACAGGTAACAAGCTAAGATTAGGAGCACACTCTTAAAGGGAGTGCTCCTAATCGCAATCATCAGATTCTAAACTCTCCACCATGGCCAAGACCAAAGAGTTATCCAAGGATGTCAGGGACAAGATTGCAGACCTACACAAGGCTGGAATTGGCTACAAGACCATTGCCAAGCAACTTGGTGAGAAGGTGACAACAGTTGGTGCAATTATTCGCAAATGGAAGAAACACAAAAGAACTGTCAATCTCCCTCGGCCTGGGACTCCATGCAAGATCTCACCTCGTGGAGTTGCAATCATCATGAGAACGGTGAGGAATCAGCCCAGAACTGCGCGGGAGGATCTTGTCAATGATCTCAAGGGAGCTGGGACCATAGTCACCAAGAAAACAATAGGTAACACTACGCCGTGAAGGACTGAAATCCTGCAGCGCCCGCAAGGTCCCCCTGCTCAAGAAAGCACATATACATGCCCGTCTGAAGTTTGCCAATGAACAACTGAATGATTCACAGGACAACTGGGTGAAAGTGTTGTGGTCAGATGAGACCAAAATGGAGCTCTTTGGCATCAACTCAACTCGCCGTGTTTGGGCGAGGAGGAGGAATGCTGCCTATGACCCCAAGAACACCATCCCCACCGGCCTTGCCAGGGTGCGAGTTCTGACCACTGACCCACTAGACCCGGCCCTTACGAGGACGTCGGGCCAGGAGTTCCCAGGATCTCACCGCTGAGCCGCATAGAGTCCCGGCCCTGATAAGGACAGCGGGGCTAGGGGTCTCAGGGTCCTATCTAGCTGGTCTTCGGCTTCTGTCTTCAACTGGTCCCGAGCCTGTAGAGAGGTCCGCCTTATATCCACCTCCCAGCCAAGGGGCGGGGTCCCGGGGGATCCTAAGGTACCCCGCAGCCCCCACCCGTTGGGAGGGGCCCCGGGAGATCCTAGGACACCCCACAGCCCATTTACGCCCCTACATTTGCATATGATTCAGGGCAATTCCGGTACAAATGGTTTTTGCTTCCACAAAGGTTGCATTGCGCTGGGGCTCGGCACTCATCCACTGCATGGTCCAGAGACTTGCAGCGGTAGCACACTCGTGCTTCACATGCCGCTGCCAGATGACCCCATCCACCGCACCTTCGGCAGAGCTTGGGTTGACAACGAAGCCTTTACCACCACCAATGGTGAGGGCACTCGGAATGTGTTGCAGGGCACCG